CCATGCCAACGATTCATCTCGGCGTCTATCTGACGTCCGGGAAGGAGACTTATCAAGCCGTCCGGTGGGCGCTCGAGGTGTGCTTTTGCCGTTCCTGATGATCAGTAAACACAATGCTCACCACGGCAGGCTGGCTATCGAGCGTGAGTAGCATCACGAGACCAAGCTTTCACACGGCTGACGGATGACGCGTGCACAGAGTCGATTCAGCTCAGATGTACCATAACGAGAAGGAGTCTGGCAAAGCCATCTCTGACTTTCTCGCAAGTGATGCCAATACCGAGTCGCTCAGGCGCGAAGATATCCACTACACTTCCAAGCTAGCGTCCAACTCCGCATACGAAACGGCCCGCAAAGCCATCAAGAGATCTGTCAAGGAGGCGGGTCTTGGCTACATTGACCTATTTCTGTTGCACTCCCCATATGGCGGCAAGCAGGCGCGTCTCGACAGCTGGCGAGCGGTGGAAGACGCAATCAACGACGGCGAAGTCAAGATTGGAGGCGTCTCCAATTATGGTGTCAAACATGTAAGTAGACCCTGGTTCCCGTCTTTTTGCTTTAGTTGTCTCGGGAAGGCCCGTATTCAGTCTCTAGTGCGAACGAACATACACCCAGGATAGGAAAGTCGTTGTAGTCGCCCTCATTGGACTCTTCAGTATAGTCATGAGCGTCACCGAACATTCAACGTCGCCGAGGTCAATCACTGACAATATGCTAGTTGCAAGAGCTACTGGACTCCAACCCCCGGATTCCTCCAGCGGTTAACCAGATCGAAGTTCACCCGTTCAATACGTGAGTTCCCCGAAGGGACTGCATTGCATGCGCAACAGTGCTAACTTTGTACACTAGGCGGAAGGACATCACTTCCTTTTGCCAGCAGCACAACATTGTCGTAGAGGCATACGCGCCGCTGGTCCGAGCCTTGCGCATGAAGCATCCGAAGATCGTGGCCCTGTCTAAGAAGTACTCGTGCACTCCGGGCCAGCTTTTGGTCCGCTGGAGTCTGCAACACGGCTATGTGCCACTACCCAAAAGTGTGAAGAAGGAGCGAATCGTCGAGAACTCGGAGATTGGAGGCTTCGTAATCGAGGATGGCGACATGGAGACGATGGACGGGTTGGACGAATACCTGGTGACCGGTGAGTTCCTTTGGGTGCCTGGCATACGCAGCCATGTCAATACTCTCATCCCGCTGCTTTTACTGACGTGCAACTTTTCTCCAGATTGGGACCCTACCGATTGCCCGTGAGTGTGCTCAGTGTGGAGGCAGAGATGTCGGGCGTGGGGGTCAGCGCGTGGAGGGTGGGAAATCGATCTCTTTCACATGCCACCAAATGTAGAAATGGAGCATGCTCATCTGTGCCTATTTCCGATGCATGACCATGTCGATATTGTGACGCCGCCATCGAGTCTCAAGTTATGATCTTGCAGCTCAATGACTGCAATGCGCGCATATGCGCATGACGGAGGACGCGACGGTAGAGATTGAGGCAGTGCAATGTCGCAGACAGGCTATGTTTATATCGTTTAGGTTTTAAGCTTGTGGGTTGACGTCGCAGACAAAGGTGAGGATGTCCGGCATCTCCGCAGCAGGAGGTCACCAGCGGCCGCTTCGCCAAGACAATGTTGCGTGGCCCAAGCACACGCCCACATTCCGGCTTCTCCCACTCTCCCTGCCTGTTCTCTTTACCCTGACACGCCACTAGGCGAAAGCCCAACGTAACAAGACTCAGTCGCGCGCCCGCCGACGTCGGCATCGCGTCGCCTCCCATGGTTTGACTCTCGACTATTACCGCCCGCCACGAGCCTCGAGTGGCCGGAGCCCCCGCTACTTCACGTGCAACCACCCCGCGATACTTGTCCTCGCCCGCCCATTGGCCAGATCCTTATCAGTAGAAAAAGTGCACACCATGGTTTGCATCAACATGGCGTGCAGTAGACCCCATTGACCACTGAGACGGGTCCAGCACCCCAATCTCCCGGCCTCTGACGTACTCAAATCGAGTGCGACTTTGTTCCGCACCGTCACCGCAGGCCCAGCGAACTATCTAGCTTGCGCCGACTGCAATTATATATACCAGACACTCTCTCCTGCCTCTTCTCTCCATCAACTTGTGACTCTTCGACTGTGTCAATTCCCATCACCTCACATCTTCTTTCAGTCCCCAAGATACCCAACATCACAATGTCTGAGCCCGAGTTTGAGCAAGCCAGGAAGGGTACGTTTGCGCCTCACCACTAAACCGTTGAGTTATTACCATAACTCAACCCTTCCTCCCCATCTGCACATATCTAACACCTCACAGAGCTCGTCTCCACCCTCGAGGCCTCCTCCCTCTTCTCCAAGAACCCCGAATACAAGAAGGCCCTCGAGGTCGTCTCCGTCCCCGAGCGTATCATCCAGTTCCGCGTTGTCTGGGAGAACGACAAGGGCGAGTGCCAGGTCCAGAAGGGATACCGCGTGCAATTCAACTCCGCCCTCGGTCCCTACAAGGGCGGCCTCCGCTTCCACCCTACCGTCAACCTATCCATTCTCAAGTTCTTGGGTTTCGAGCAGATCTTCAAGAATGCGCTCACCGGCCGTACGTCATACCAGACTCGATCGAATACAAACAACAAGCTAATACACTACAGTCAACATGGGCGGTGGTAAGGGAGGATGCGACTTCGACCCCAAGGGCAAGTCTGACAACGAGATCCGCAAGTTCTGCGTTGCCTTCATGAGGGAGCTCAACAAGCACATCGGTATGTCTTAACCCTAGCGCGTCCCTTCACTTCAGCCTCAGTGGGGCATGCACCTTGACGGGTTCGCATGCTCTTCCGACAGCAGACCAACGAGATCTGGCGGGTCTATCTTGCCTTATCTTCCCGTCTGTCTGGCACTGCCCCGTCGGCGACGTTCGCGCTGCTTTCTTGGTTCTCCACTAGGAACATTTCACTTACGTAAATCACAGGTGCTGACACAGACGTACCTGCGGGCGACATCGGCGTCGGTGGTCGCGAGATCGGTTACCTCTTCGGCGCATACCGAGCAGAGCGCAACCGCTGGGAGGGCGTCCTCACTGGCAAGGGTGGCTCATGGGGAGGCAGCTTGATCCGTCCCGAGGCCACCGGCTACGGTCTCGTATACTACGTTGACCACATGATCAACTACGCCTCAGGCGGAAAGGAGTCGTTCAAGGGCAAGCGCGTCGCCCTCTCTGGTTCCGGAAACGTCGCTCAGTACGCTGCGCTCAAGATCATCGAGCTCGGCGGCACCGTCATCTCCCTCAGCGACAGCAAGGGCGCTTTGATCGCCGAAGACGACAAGGGTTTCACCCCCGAGATCATCAACCAGATCGCCGCCCTCAAGTTGGAGCGCAAGGCTCTTACTGCTCTGGAGAACCACAGCTTCAAGTACATTGAGGGTGCCCGCCCATGGAAGGAGGTCAAGAAGGTCGACGTTGCTCTTCCTTCAGCGACCCAGAACGAAGTCTCCGAGGACGAGGCCAAGGCTCTCATCGAGTCTGGTGCCAAGTTCATCGCTGAGGGTTCCAATATGGGCTGCACACAGGAGGCTATCGAGGTCTTCGAGGCTCACCGTCGCGAGAAGAAGGGCGAGGCTATCTGGTACGCCCCCGGAAAGGCTGCCAACGCCGGTGGTGTCGCCGTCTCTGGTCTCGAGATGGCCCAGAACTCCCAGCGTCTGTCATGGACCGCCGAGGAGGTCGACGAGAAGCTCAAGGGCATCATGAAGGACTGCTTCGAGAACTGCCTGGGTACCGCCAAGGAGTACTTCACTCCTGCCGAGGGCGAGTTCCCATCTCTCGTCGGTGGTGCCAACGTCGCCGGTTTCCGCAAGGTCGCTGCTGCCATGCACGACCAGGGTGACTGGTGGTGAACAGTTCGCTGCTGAGCGGATTGTCTTTTGTATATGATACCTTACGATACCTTCCTTGTCTTTGGCGTTCGGAAGCTGGAAGCTTCCACTTGTATATAGATACCTTACATGAATAGAATCATGAAATATTTCACCACATTCTTTCGCATCACTCCTACTTGAATCAGACCACCAAGCAAGTCATTCACACACGCATGTCACTTTGCAACTGAATACCGGAGAAACCCGCACGCAAAAACTCCCAATAAGACACAGCTATCCAAAATAGACACGATCCTAACCCAATCTTCAGCATTCACGACTCACAATATTCATCACGCCATCACGTCACCAAGCCACCAAGAAAGTACTCACCACAAAAGCAATGCCCAAACTTTCCTAGTCAGGGCTCAAGCAGGCGGCAGTCGCGTGGCGCCCCTCCACGCGCCCCTGCCCCGCCAAAAAAGCAAAGCAAGATCCCGACCCCACTGCTCTCGTCCACGTCGAAGAAGCAAAAAAGCCCACACGCCAAATGCGAGTTGGGCGCGATAGCTTATTACTGGTTTTGGTTAGGGTAAGTCAAGTCAAGCCCGCGGCGTGTGGGTTATGTTATGCGTTTTGTCAGGGTGCGCCGGGATGGGGGTGGGTGTGTGGGTGGTACGGGCATGTCTTGAAAAATTGTCACGGCGAACCGTGATGAGATGCCGGCGCGTAAGTGTCGCGTCGCACCGTGGGTGCCGATGCGCGGAAAAGTTGTCGGCGTTGGATAGGCACGGGACGGAAAAGTCCACGGATGTGAGGTGGGATGGGTTACCGCGTTTGGTGTGGTTCGATATCGGAGGGCGAGGGGCGATGTCGGGGGATGTTGGGTTGGGTTTGCGAGGGCCGGATGGAACAGGATGGGATGGGAGATTGATGGGAGGTGCGAGAACGGGATGGTTTGTTGATGAATTTAAAAATCATTGGTGCTGCATTTGTATTACAAGATTTCGTGAGCACTAAGATATTGCGACAATGATTTTGCAGATGTAGGAGTAGAGGACTGGGGGCAAGTATGCTACGACAAGTCATAACGGATGTGTATTAACGAAATCTTGAGAAAGTATCGCGTTGTGTGTACGATTTTGCGATGATGAATCTACTATCCAAGTACGGTTGTCCAGTCTCTCAATAACTCATCTACCTCGTCGACTACTACCGCGCTCGGCATATCGTTGAATTTCATCTCAGGCAACTGGTAGCTGGCTACCCTATGTCAGTGACATGCTGTAACAAGTGAATGAGTCTAACTTACACATAGCTGCAGCGGGGTTTTGTAAACTTGTTCTTCCTTGTTTCTTCTCATTCATACCCGTGGGTTCTGTTGATGGTATCGTTAGCGGTGTACTCTCGATGTTGTGGTACTTAAGTGTTATGTAGACTTGAACACCACAAGTCCCAAAAACAGGACTAGACCTACTCTTTGGACTCTTCTCTTTCAGATCGCGTCGTGCTTTCTCTAGCCCTTCCCTCCTCGGTTTCAGACCCCACTCGTCAAGCATCTTCTCTTCTCGTTTCTTGGTCCTGTCCTTGTCTTGTACACGTCTGGACGGTCTGACGATACCAGCATCTTTGTTCGAGCGACCTCGAGGGGAGCGGGAGCGTGATTGGTAACAGTTGATGGTGACTCCGCCGATGATTCCCCCTTGGCCTGCTGACCCGCCGAAGTCCTTGACTCCGTCAATAGACTTGCGGCGCAACGGCCTAGGACGTTCTGAGATCAAGCTGATGGGACGAGAGCCACGTTCTAAGCTGTAAGGACGTGGCTTTCGCCAGGCTGGCTCTGAGTCACGGTACATGCTCTTCTTTTCACGTCGGCTACTGCTTGATATCGTAGAGCGCATGTCTTCATTGTCTGAGCCGCCGTACGTAGAACCGCGATCCGACCGATGCTTCCGTCGACGATGTTTGCGTTCTCGATCGTCGTTGTCCCTGGGTTTCGAGGATGTGCTTGGAGCTTCAATGAGGTTTTCCCTCGACTTGCTCGCAAATTCCGTGAATAAACAGCTGTTGCTGTTGTTTGGGTCGTTAAGGCGCGATGAGGACTCACTACTGTCGGGGTAGCTCTCTCTACTTGTGGGCCTGTAACGCTGATTAGAGTACCTGAGTTTCGGCGCATCTACTACGTTTATAACATCGTGCTCTTTCTCAGGGGATGAAGTGGTTGCATCAATGCCAATGATAGATGTAGATGGGCGACGCTCCTCTAATTGGTATGAAGCTGAAGATGAGCGAGATGCATAGTGAGCTGGCTTTGATGACTGCAATATTGCAGGTGCACGTAAACCGCGCTCGGGAGAAACGTCGTCTCTTGCGAAGCTACTGATTCCCTCTCTTCTCCGTAGCTCTTCTTGCCAAAGTCTCTCACCTCGAGCGAGGGCTTCTTTTTTCGCGGCCTTCGCGGGGCTTATGGATCGATGCAGAGTACCGCCTGTGTGGAGGCTTTCGGAGTGAAATTGAGGCTTTTGATCCAAGGCTGCACGCTCTTCTCTAGGTTCGCGTAGTTCACGGTCCTCGGAACTGGTGCGACGGGACGATGCATACTCCTCGCGATACTTGGTTCGCCTATATTCAGCGACTGGAGGGAAATCGAGCGGAACATCTTCGATGCTATCCGGGAGCAATCCAAGGCGATGGACTGACCCGTGCGCCTTGCGTGCACGCTCCGTTTTGGCCCTCACTTGATCTCTGGCTTCGCGCTCAAGGCGCACTTCCCGTTCTATCATCAAAGCTGCCTCTCTCTCCTTGTCATTTATGCTTACGTCGGCTGACTTCGTTCTCGCTCCAGCAACGATACGTGCTCGCTCCATTTCCATTTCCATTTCCATCTTCATTTCTTTTCGTGCCCTTTCGTCACGCAAAGCGGCGAGGGCGTGGCTATCGGGCGGCGTTACGTTCGCCACAGCAGATGCTATGTTCCCTCCGCTCGCTCCACTGATATATCGCCGCATTTTCGCATCAGTGAAATTGGCTTGGGACTTGCCAAGCAGGACACTGTCGAGATGAGAGCGAGCGAGAAAGTAAGATCCGATAGCCTTCTGATGGTGATCTGAGTGGTCGTCTCCATCTACTTGTTTGGACAAAGCAAGCTGCAATGTCTCAATATCTGCGAGTAGGCTTCGTACATGGTCGACACATGTGGCAATTGTATCGGGGTTGATTGTTGAGCCCATGGCTCCCGCAGCGTTGAAGAGGTTAGACGACGAACCAACGTCGTCTTCATCCTGTACTGATCGATCGCCATCATCCACAGCAGTGCTGCCGTCGCTGATACTGAAATTCCTTAGCGACTCCTCGTACTTCTTCGTGGCCTGCTTCTTGTTCTCGAGCAACTGCTTGATCTCTTCCCGGTGTTTCGCTTCAGCCTCGCGGCTGTACTTTTCTGAAGAGACTTGGTGGGCGTGTATGAGAACCTGCATCAGTAGCTGCAGCGTACTCTTGAGCTTTTCAATTTGGCTTCGCAAAAGTTCGATCTTGTTTTCTTTGAACGGTAACATCAGCCGACTCATTTTTCCTATCTTGTCTGTCTTGCCTGGCTTGTCTGTCTTGCCTGGCTTGCCCCTATTGATCTTCAAGTCAAGCTCCTTGAAGACTGCAAAGCACTCCTTGAATGTCTCGTTCGCCGCTTTGACCGCATTCTCGGAAATAAGGTTTGCTGTGTTGTTTTTCTCGAAGATGGTCCCTAGCTCTTGGATGACCGAGCTTGTGAGCTTGACTTCATTCGCGATACCCTTGATCCTATCATCGGCAGTAGTCACGCCATCAACATAGTGGTACAACGTTTCTGACAGCTTCAAGCCTGCGCCAGCCAGCTGAACGACGCTGGCGACCAAGCCTAGCACCTCCGCCATGATAGAATTACGTGCAGCTACGGCAAGATGTGGTTGTTAAGCATAATGAAAAAAAAACGATGGCTTCGAAAGAAGTTATGAAATGTGCAAGAACATGGTGACAACAATGTGATTGTAGCAGCTTTCGTCTGTTGATGCCTCGAGCTAAGCGGGCTGAGTTGCGGCTGAGTGGGCGGGGTAGCACGCCCAGCTGCGCTGCACGAACATTGCCCATGATGAACCAGCCTTGCATCTCGTTTCGCAAGCAGTCATCAATTAAGCGCTTCATCTCGAGATCACTGCGAACATTCCACGACGCGAATGGGACTCCGAATGGGCTAACCGCGCGAAGCATAGTTTAGACCGCAAACTTGGATAGTTCGTTCGCAAGGTTCCCTTAAGCATCATCGAGCGTCAAGATCCCTGCCTGTCAGCCGTCTTTCCACTGATCGCCACGCGCTGGCTCTCCCAATTGGGTGCCACACTTCTCCTGCGCCACAGAACCACGGTATGATATCATGGGGTCTCCAGCGGGCAGAGAGGCCTTGCTTCGGGTTTCGTCCTCGATACAAAGGCTTCCCCGTTACTGACATTGACGCACCTTGCACATACTCACATACTGTTTGTTATACATACAGTATTTTCTTATTCCAGGGTCAAGAGCTTCGACCACCGTTCCCTAGACCTGCTCTCCACGTGCTCATCGTAATCGGGTCCCACCTGTCAACCGAAATTGGGTGTACTGCTGGCAATGGATGACGGTTTCCGACAACCTGCCAAACTTCAAAAGCGAAAGAGTCGCGAACGACAGGAACTTGAGCAGATGACCGGTGGCTTGAGTGGTCAACCCGCAGCCAATTCTTCGCAACCCATGTCTGGCTCCGACAACATGACGTCGGCTGAGAAGGAGAAGCGATCGAAATGGCGCATGTCCAATCCATTCTCTTCCAAAGAGAAGGCATCGAAAGATAGTCTTAACCCTACTCACAGAGAGGAAGAAAAGGAAAAGGCGCGCAGGGATGCCGACTCGGCGTATTACAGTAGCGAGCGCAGCAGCGCAGATCCGAGCTTCAAGAACCAAGCTCGCCCCATCTCCGGTGAACAGTACAACCATCCGCCTACAAACAACCAAGCACCCCCCGCTCACACTACGCCGCCGAATGGGCAACATCAGAATACCCTTGCGCCTCCCACGCAAACGCAACAGACACTCCAAAGTCGTTCGAGCCATGAGGATGTGGGCAGAGAGACATATCGCGATGCCGGCTCGGGGAACATCGTCACCGTCACAACAACCACCACAACGACGACGACCACTACAACCGGCCCGGGTGGCTCCACCACTGTAGAGCAGCCCCGCGACAGCGTTGCTCCGTCTGAGCAAAGCGTACACACTTCTGGACCCAGCCCACCACAGCCGGCTCCTCCTCAGCCGGACAACCACTACCATCAAGGCCCCGGTCTTTCAGCGCAATCCGCTATACCTCAAAACATCACTCCACCAGTGCCTATGAGCAACAACCAGCCAGGCAACAGACTATCTCCACAAGTCTCCAACAACGACGGCCCTTCGTCTCCACCCATACCAGCGAAGAACAACATACGGCATAGAGTAGAGCTGGACTCAGTATCGCCTGGAGTTCAGAGGCCGAACCCGATGGAGGAAGTTGTCAGCCCAGTCACTCCCAGCAGCCCGAACCGTGCGAACTTCTCGTACCCTGCGAGAGCACCGCCTCAAGGAGTTCCACGCCAGGTGCCTGGGAATGGCATCCACCCAGACCACCAGCGGATGGACTCTCAGCAACACCAGGATGGCATTCCACCCGTACCTCCAGTTCCAGGACAACAGCAACCACCACGGCGCTCGAGCATTCCTCAAATGCCCGCATACCAACAGCAGCAGTCCGGTATGCCGCCCATGCCGAACCAACAACCATCTAGCATACCCCCTAGCCTACAGTCTGGCATCAACACCAACAACGTCAATGATTCAGACCGCCCGGTTCCATACCGCGCTGGTCATGATCTGAACAAGCAGAGCACCATGGCAAATCTCAAGGCAGCAGCAGCGGGTATCCACGTAAGCACCTCACACACTACCACTCGACATGCGTACACATACTAACACTGTTTCGCAGGGCGCAGGAGAAACCCTCCGCGGAACTTTCAACGACACATTCGACCGCCGCAACCCCGCCGCGCACGCCAAAAACCAAGCCGTCATCGACAAAGGCCGATCGGAAATCGAAGCCGCACGCGCCCGCCAATACGCCGCTCAACAGCAGCAGCAGCAACAACAACCACACGTGGGGAATCATACATCGGTGTCGCACCCGCAGCCACAAGGACCTACGATTGGAGCTGCACCGCCCCCTCCTTCTCAGCCGGGTGTAGGGCAGTCAGCGGTACCGGGCAAGACGGCGTATCAAGGGCCACCGGTGTCTGGGTCTCAGATTGAAGGGAGGAGTGGTGGAGGTGGGAAACTGAGTAATATTATGAAGAAGATGAAGGAGGGGCCTACTCCGAGGCAGGATGGGGCTGCCAATCATCCTTGAGGATGTGGTTTGACATGGGATTGTGATGCGATGCGATGAGTTTGTGCAGGGCCAGATACCATAGTGGATGTTTCAATACGATGATTGCAATGACTCTATTTTACTTTGGACGGAAGTGAGTTGAGCAATGGGGATAAATAACCTACGATGTAGCATGCATGCCATTGTAATCGAAGGACCGCAACCATCATTACATGTATCACAGCATGAGAAATAGGCCATTGATATTATGGTTCGTTCATTTGACTATATTACATGTTCGTAAACTCGTAAGATGCATCGTCCACATCGGCGTCAGAGCAGCGGTCCTAGAACATGACCCCACTTAACCGTTGACGATAGTACCACCGTTGGCGTGGATAGTCTGCCCACTAATCGAGCTGCTGTCATTGCTAGCCAAGAAGACAAAGCAAGTAGCAATCTCGCTAGGCTGGCTCGGCCTGCCAATCGGCGCAGTGAACTGCTTGATAGCCTCGTCGTTCATGGTAGCAGGGATGAGAGGAGTCCAGACGGGACCAGGTGCAACGGCGTTGACGCGGATACCCCGTCCGACGTACTGGTTTGACAGACCGCGGGTGAAAGCGACGATGGCGCCCTTGGTGGAGGTGTAGTCGAGGAGGTCGGGGCGGCCGACGTAGGCGTTGATGGAGGCGTTGTTGATGATGGTTGCGCCGCGCTTCATGTGGGGGAGGGCGTACTTGGAGAGGTAGAAGAAGGGGTGGATGTTTGTGTCGAAGGTGTTGAGCCATTGTTCCCTGTATACTGTTAGTATGCGACCTCAGCAAGAAGAGGAAGTGATACGTACTCAGAAAGGTCGTGGATGTCGTTGATCATCATCTGGTAAGCGTGGTTGTTGACAAGGATATCAATGCCTCCCATCTGCTTAACAGCCTCGTCGATAACCTTCTGGCAGTTTGCCCTCTCCTTCAGGTTGACGGCCAGAGTGTAGCACTTCTGTCCCTTCTCCTCTACCATCTTCTTGGTGTCTTGTGCGTCCTTCTCTTCCTCGGGGAGGTAGGCGATGAAGCTGTCGGCTCCTTCCATGGCGAAGAGAACGGCGATTGAGCGGCCAATGCCGGAGTCTCCACCGGTGATAATGGCGCGCTTGCCCTTGAGCTTGCCGGCCGCCTTGTACTTCTCAGCACCTCCCTCTGGTGTTGGGAGCTCGTCGACCTTGGGCAGGGGGTCCAACTTGGACTCGAGACCGGGGGCCTGTTGGTGCTGAACATCGGGCTGGAAGCCTGTGATACCAAGTCAGTACAAGAAAATTATTCGGACGCTATCATGGGTGCTTACCCTGCTCGAATTGTCCCTTGTTGGACGACATGTTGTGTGGTTGTTTGTGGGTATCTCTGGATCAGTAAAGAGAATCTAAAGAAGAGAAACTGGTTGCAGGTGTTTGATTCAGTGTGAAGTTGGTGTAATTTTCGAAGCAAGCGCCGTTCAAAGTGGCACTTTTATTGACGTTCATGATTTCTTGTGACATCACAAGGCTGTCACGGCACGCTCATGTGCAAGAGTGGAGCCTGGTATGGTAAGAGTTAGGCGGAACATCACCGAAGGATGGGACTATTGAAATGCCCATCGACGATAGAATGCCATCGGCCGATGTGTCAACGCTGGCACGAACTGGTGGGAACGGCTAACGTCGCCTCAGCCTTACCCGTAGCTTCAACGCGCTCTTTCGCACGGCCTTATGATCGACAGCTGTATTCTTTGAAGGATACAAGAACCTCCAGCTGAGAAGAGGATTGAGACTGCAGCTCGGATTACTTACGTGAAACGCAGTCGGGGCACCTTCTGAAGCAACCCCACCAAGCTCATCGGTCACGACGTCATCGAGTCGACCAGACCTGTAACTCTTTCTCGGACTGCGTTGTGCTCGTAACCTTGTGTTGACGAGTTCAGTACCGTATTACGACCGACTGCTATCTTGACCAAACCCTCGGCGCCGTATTCGCAATCTTCACAACCCAGCGATGACGCTGATGAAGCTATTCAGAGGTATGACGTACTTCCCGCCCTAAAATCAGGGTCCAGCCGCGCTGCGCTATGACCGCATCCAGCCTCGCCCGACCACTCCGATTCCAAGACCCCTAGCACCAACGGCCATCGTAACTCGCTCTTGCATGGAACAAGCCACACCAAGGCCGTTTTGACAAGATAGAAAGCTGTTAGGGCACGTCATGCGCCACGACTCATGTGCCAGGGCACAAGCTTGTCCGGGTCCCTGCATGACGTGAGATAGACGATCGCAGCCAGATGCAGGGCGCTGGGCACGGTAGAACTTGATTTCAGGGACTTGGAGGGAATGAGATTGCGTGGACTGGGTTTGGGTTCTTTTGGAGGCTGTGGTATAAGATGGGGGTTATAGCACGACTTTATGTATTCACATCACTACACTATTCAATCTACCATAAGCTATCGATTCTAAGAGCTCCCAACTCTACAGCACAACCCTATCTC